GGCATGGGCCGAAACAATGGCTTGATTTTCATTTCTTCAGCTGGCCAAGATATTCGAATTTCGGTGTTGTTTCGTTTCAAATCGTTTTGCCTGTTGGCTGCCACTGCTGCCGCTGCTGCTGGTGTTGTTGTTGTTGTACGGTGCTGTTATTATTTCGATACTAGCGGCTATTACTTTTGATCCTGGCATTCTATTGTTCCGTTTCAAAGACCACTATTATGTAAACAATCGGCATCTTTGATGTTGCGGGCTTCAAAGTGTTGCCGACACGTTTCATTTAAGCCGCTCTTCTCTACGGAATACTACGACTCTACGCTACGCTACAACCAATACACACGAGACGCTGCTGCGATTGTACATTTCGGCACGAGAGATGAAGAATCCAAGACCAAGTCGATGCTAGCGATGATGAGAGCGAGGGGGGTTGCCAGAGGTGATAGGTTGATGGCATTGTCAGCACTGCGCCACTGCCAGCAATGATGATGATGATGATGTTCATGAAGACGACGAAATAGAAGAAGAAGAAGAAACCCCCATTGACGAGATGTTGATGGAACGCCAACAGAAAATAAGAGGGGCAACCATCCATCCATCCGTCCATCCCAACCAAGTCGCCTGTTTACAAACGTTTTTGCTTTACTACTTTCCAAAGCTTTTTTTGTGTGTTTTTGGTTATTTGCTCTCTGTCTTGGCTGTCATGTCTGTCTATCTGCCCGTTCCTCCATATTCTGTCTTTCTGTCTGTCTAGCTTTATGGAATTACTGTTGACTGGATGACTAACTGTCCATTGTCTGCGAGTGACGCTCTGTATCTGCCCGTCCGTCCGTTTGTTCGTCCGTCTGCCGCTTACAACGTTACGGTTCCAGTTTTACAATGTTTGTATTTATTTTCGCAGTCAAATAACATCTGTGCGCGTGTCTCTTGTTATTGAATTTATTTATGGATGTACTGAGCCTGGTGCCCGGCCACAGCGTACGCATGCGCCGTTTTATGTTTTTGGCGGCAACATCTTTGAAATGTTGGCATTGGAAATAACGGTGGGAATTCTCCTGGTTTCCAAAGAGTCGCACAAAGGAGAAAAACTTCAGTGGCATGCCGAATCATAATAAGTTATACTGTAGACAATTTTTTTTTTTTTTTTTTTTTTTTTTTTTGCTAACTGATTTATTCTAAAGAGAATACGTAAATAAATACGAAAGGGAATTGCCGGTAGGAGCAATTTATTAAGGAAGTTAAAAAAAAACTGTAGTGGAGAAGGAAGGACATCACAACAAAATTGTATAGGAGATGGAGAAGGGAGTTTTAGTAGATAACTGAAAAAGTGTTAAACATTGTTTTTATAGACAAGCCGAAGGGTGTATCTGTAGGTGAGGTGAAGACTATATATCCGAAGACGCCTGCCTAGACGAGCTGAAGTCGGTCCTAAAGAAGATCTAAGGAAGTATCTATTGACTTCCTTATTGATGAGTTGTATTACTACAACTTATAAACGATCCAAAGGCCAGGGCGTATTTATGACAAGATGAAGGCGTCGGGAGTCCTACAAAGCGAGTCGAAGACCTAGGAGGCTTTATATTTGAACTAAACCTCAAGTCGTTCTTATAGATGAGCTGACAGTCAAATTCCCTTCATTGAACGAGCTGAAGACCAGAGAGGTTTAAAGACGAGCTGATGGCACGAGGGTCTTTATATACGATCGAAATGTGTCCGGATGACAATCTTTATAAACGAATGGAAGAATCTTTTTAGACGAGTTGAATGACAGATAGTCTTTAGAGCACTAATACACAACATAGGTGATGGCTAAACACGTATTCTCTTTTTTTCTCTTCGCCAGTCATTTTTGAATGGGATCTCTCACTTACGCTCTCACACACTTACTCTCAATTTAACTCTGTTCAACTCTGCTTTAAAGACAAATAGATCACGCTTAATTATAGTACGAGTTTATAGTCGAGCTATATGCCGACTTTATCCACCCAACACGGGGTGGAAACATGGGAGTCTGTAGGTCATGCTTTCAGCTGGAGCTGAAAGGGTAGAGGGCTTCATAGGATAGCTGAGGTACGAATCTTTATGGACAAACTACAGACCAAGAAGAATCTGACAATTTGAACTCCAAGGAATCTTTACATACTAGTTTAAAACATGGAACCTGTTATAGACGAGGTGGAGAACAGCAATCTGTATAGGAGAACTGAAATCTTCAAACACGAGGTGGAGACATGGGAGTCTGTAGGTCATGCGTTCAGCAGGAGCTGAAGGATAGAGGGCTTCATGGGATAGCTGAGGTACGAATCTTTATGGACAAACTACAGACCAATAAGAATTTATAGTCAGGAGCCTTTATGTATGCGTTAAAGGTGTGTGAGTCTATATAGATGAGCTAATGAAGATAACAAATTTTTTAAAGACGAGCGGGAGTCTATAAAGACAAGTGGGAGTTTATAAAGACCAGCAGGAATATATAATTGCGAACTGAAGATCAGATCAGATGTAGGTCATGGAAGATCACAAGACGATCTAAAGAACAGGAAATTTATATAGACGAGCTAATGGCAAGATGTTTTAATTGATCAGGTCGTATGTAGCTCATGGAATCACAGAATACGAACTGATGACCAGGGTGCCTATATAGCAGGATTAATTATTATAACTCCCTACTATTCAACATTATCAAAATTAGACGAACTGAAAGTCAGGAGATTTTTATTAACGAGCTGAAGGTCAGTGAATCTTTATAGAGCAGCGAATTTTTATAGACGAACTGAATATCGTCTTTATACACAATCTGAAGCTCGTCAAGAAAAACAAGCTGAAGAATCGGGAGTCTTAATAGATGAGCTAAAGCTCATGGAGTATTAAACCTTTGAAATAGGAGGGAAGGCGAGATCAGGAATTTTAAAATACGAACATATGGGTGTTTTTATGCCCTACACAACTATGTTGTCAGGGTATTATAGCTTTGTGCAGCCTCAAGAGTTTGTAACGCCGCGAAATATTGGTCCTAGACCCACCTTTAAGTATACCGATCGTCATATCTCGACTAGCTGAGTCGATCTAGACATTGGGTCCGTCCGTCCGTCAGTCTGTCCACTATAATCTGTAAACACGACACAGCCACAGTTATGGACCAATCTTCACGAAATGTTGCATGTAGGATGGGTTTTGGCCAATGAAGACCCCTATTGTTTTTTGGTAAAGATCGGTTAATAATTAGGGGATGAAATGGACCAAATACTTTATTATTGTCGGTTGTTCTAGTCGCTCCAGTGGCCGCAACTATTGCCCAAACATCTCGAATTTTTACATGGAGAAGGGGATCGGACCAACGAATAACTAGCCTGTGTTGATAAAGATCGCTCAATATTTAGAGGGTCAAATGGACCCTGACTTTTGTGTGAAAAAATGAGAAAACTTTTTTTCGAGTCGATCTATAGGCCACAATTATAAGACGAACATCACAACACAATCCATATTGGTAATAATCGGAAAATATGTCAGTGTATTGAAGTGGTGCTGTTGACATCTAATCGGGCAAGAGGGTGCAAATATCACGAAATATTGCCCCGGCTCGGAATAAAAATCCGCAGAAAGTTAGAGTTCCGTGGTAGTTGTGTAGGGTATCGTATGGTCGGCCCCGTCCGACTATACAGCTCCGCTCAGTGGTTTTATAGTGGAGCTGGTGGACGGACTGTGTGGGCTGAGTCATATTTTTAGCAGTACTTTTTAAGTGAACTCCGAAATATGTATTCATTTATTAAAGCTTTCTTATTAGATCTCACTTTCAAATAACTGGCAATAAACCATAAAATTTAAATAACATTAATTCCCTACGATCCATTCCTATCCCACCCACTCATAAACCACCACAGTGTACATAGTGTACGTACCCAACCAAAACACACTCACACATTATCGCAAATGGATTCTATTTGCCTTTTGTTTTCTTCTTCATTCCTCTTTCAACCATCAATTATTATTTTTGTTGTTATTTCGCTCATTCTAAACAAATCGTTTGACCTGGTACGGTAGTGTGTGGCGAGAAACGGAAAACAAAACAAAAATCATGTGAAACAGATTTATTTGAGAACTGAGAACGAGTATGTTTCGTTGCACAAGTGTTCCTGCACGATCTGTTTCATTTTCACATGATACCCTGCTCTCTTCCTCTTCGCTCATAAAAAAGAGCAATCAAACAAAACTACCACTACCTGTGACTTTTCGTTCACAAGTCCATCGATTTTCTTTTGTTGTTGTTGGTGTTTCCTCTGCTGCCATGAAAAGATTACCGATCGATGCCGACCGCTTCGTATTTTTCTGATCATTTATTTTGGTGGGATTTTGTTTTTGAGCGTTTCGCCGTCGTTGTTGTCGTCGCTGATAGGTAGACCACTTCACGAAGTCACTGGTGTCGTTCATTCCGTAACGATTGATCGAGCTGAACGGATGTGTGTTCGGTAGAAATTGTTCTGCCAAAGAAACTGAACAAAAAAAAACGTTACATTTTTTCAAATCAAAAACGCTTTCGATTCGCCGCATTCTATTCGCTAAGCGGTAACGGATAATAGATCGCTTTGATGTTAAAGTGTTAATTGATCTACTTTCAAACAAAAACAAAGAAAATAAATAGAAACAACAACTAAACGTCTACTCATATGCAAATGTAATGAAGAAGTGTTGAGGAAAATTGTGTGAAAGAGAAACAACTTCAAAGGAAAACAAATGAAATCAATGAAAAGTGCAAAATAATTATAAATGTCAGGCATTTGAATACAAAATGTATCTATGAAATAAATATTTTCTTTTACAACATAAATAATTCATAAAATTCCAAAAAAAAAATCGATTACAACGAAGTGAAATTTGGTGATAATGTTCGAAAAATTTTGATAAACAAAAAAGGAAAGAAATCTACAACAAAAAGGAATATAACTTAAGAAAATATGTTAAATTTAATGGAATTTGGTAAAATGACAACGCCAGCGATTTGTAACAAGATGAATCACGATTGCTCTCAATGGATTAAAACGAATGATCTGTTAAAGGTAAGTTGGTTTCTTTAATAAAGGCCGCAAATAAAGAATAGAAAATTAAGTACATTTTAGCATATTTTGGGCAACGAAATAAACTTCAGCCTCAGTTGACGATTTCATTTCTTGGACTATTGTGGAAAAAACTGAATGTCCTGAAGACATTAAAAAAAAAAAGATTCGGAATGTTTATAAAGTTCAACTTATTTATTGATTGAGTTTATTTTTTTTACATTTTTCCGATAATTCTTAAAACAATCCGAAACACTTTCGAAGGATATCGTAGTTATAGGACGAGCTGAAGAGAGCTTCGTAAATCAGCTAGAAGAATTGGTTTATACGGACTTAGAGGGTCTTTATAGTTAAGCTGAAGGGAGTGTTTTCAGACAAGCTTAAGTATTCTTTATAGACGATTTGAAGGAGGTATTTTTCGACACGCCGAATGTATTCTTTGTAGACGAACTGACGGAAGAGTTTATAGTCGAGCTGAAATGTATCTATAAACCAGTGAGCGGAGCAGTACCCTACACAACTTCCATGAACATCTAACTTTCTGTGGTATCACATTCTGAGCTTGGGCAATATTTCGCGATTTTTGCACCCTCATGACCCACCAGAGGTCCACAAATATTACTAATATTCAGTACTTGTCCAGATTCCCTTCAACGTGGATTGTTTTGTGATGTTCGGCTTTCAATTGTGGCCTGTAGATCAACTCGAAAAAAAAAACAAACAAAAAATACGTTTTCGGTCCCCTTCATCCCAACATTATTATCTGATCACCGAAATGATAGGCGTTGTCCTTGACCATACCTGGATATTAGTGAAAGCGATGAGCGCTATATTTCCATATTTCAGCCCTCTAGCGTGGTAATGGGTTACTAAAAAATATCTGAGTACGTAAGCACCTGTAAACATTTAAGTGTAACTCCCACATCTGAGTACATACGACAATAAAATTGGTATCAATTTAAAGGTCAATCACTCCTCTTGGATATACTATCAACTTCTCGTGTTTATTTGTCATTTTTCACACAAAAGTCAGGTACAATTTGACCCCCTAAATATTGACTGATCTTTATCAAAACAGGCATGGTTATTCTTTGGCTCGATCCCCTTCTCCATGCAAAAATTTCCGGTGTTTGGGCCATAATTGCGGCCTCTGGAGCGACCAGAAAAACCGACAAAAATAAAGTTTTTGGTCCATTTCATCCCCTAAATATTAACCGATCTCTTTCAAAAACAATAGGGGTCTTCATTGGCCACAACCCATCCTACATGCAAAATTTCGTGGCCTGTATCATGTTTACAAATTATAATGGACAGACGGACCATTCGATCGACTCAGCTAGTCGAGATATGACGATCGGTATACTTAAAGGTGGGTCTAGGACCAATATTTCGCGGCGTTACAAACATTTGGGGCTGCACAAAGCCATAATACCCTGACAACATAGTTGTGTAGGGTATAAAAAAATATGGAGAACACGGACTTATTATAGTCGAGCTGATAGGAGTCTTTTAAAGAACGGAGTATTTATGAAGACTTTTTTGACGAGATGAAGAAGGGAGTGTTAGTCTTTATAGAAGATCTGAAAGGAGTCTATGCCCCGGATATATTCTTACTTGGTAAGATGAAGGGAATATTTATATATGACCTGAAGGAAATCAAGTTTTTATAAACCAGATATAGAGAAATTTATAGGCGTTCTAAATAAGAACAAAATGACGTTTTTTTAAAGAGAAGCTGAAGGAAATCTTAATAGACGAGCTGCAGATATTAATCTGGACCAGCTGGAGGGCGTCTTTATGGACGAACTTATTGGCGATCTGAAGAGAATCCTTGCAGAATCCTTTTTAAGACTAGATATCTTAGAATATTTATAGATGATCTAAATATATTCTTTCTAGGAAAGGTGAAAGGAGCAGTTATAAATGAGCTGACGACCAAGTGATGGAAATTTTTTACCGAGAATTTGATGATGAGGTAGTTTTTATAGAGCTGAAGGAAATCCTTATAGACTGTATGAAAACAGTTTTTTCTTGAGAAGCTAAAGGAAATTAATATAGACGAGCTGAAGATATTTATCTGGGCTAGCTGTAGGGCGTTTTTTTAGAAATCTGGTGAGCATACAAATTATCTGATAAGATAATCCTGGACCCCTCAGAGGAATTTCTTATATTCGAACATATTTTTCGTTCGTCTGTTCGTGTATTTTTATTATTGTATAATTGTGATGAAAATTGGCACTGATCAATAATTTGGGCCAAGGACGAGCCTTATTAAAATTGTTAAGAATGGGTTCGAATTTCCATATAGCTTCACATAAAATTGCCCCATTTTCATACAAATGCTTCAGTTGTGCTTAATATCGATTCGAATCTATATTTCATGTAAATGGTGCACCAAAAGTACCATCCGATTGAAACGAAATTTAGCATTGGCCGATTTCATGTAAATCGGCCGCATTAGAGCACATCCTGCATACATCTAAAACACTGTTCACCAAACAGGTGTCCGCGGGCGCTTTGGGAGAGTACCAATACAATCACAGTTCTGTGTTCGAACTCAACATTATTCTCGACATCGAACCTGTCGTATGCTTTGCGATGGTTTAACATATACGATCTGTACGAAAAGAGCGAAAATTACTCTCCCAACGGATCTATGCGTGTGTCCAACACAATCATAGCTGATTGTATATGTATTGTTGGCTAACCCTGATCTAAAATGATGTAGTGGCGCACTTGTTCACGTCTGAATTTGGGTATTATCTTACTGGTATCAGTCGAGCTAAAGGAATTGTTTTAATTGTTTCGAATTTTAATGGAAATACATCTGCATCAGCAGTATTGAGAAGCCAAATTGCAATTTCAAGCCATTGAACATGGAGCAAATACCCTCAAATTATATCGGACGGAACCCTTGTCATAGGTTTTCTGCCATTTCAGAATAAAAATTGCCGGTCACCGACATATCTTTTTAGAATATTTAAATCGGATGAGAGATTTATCTAAACATAAAGCAATATATTCCAATTCTAGCATTATCCCGCCACAGAATATCCATTATTCTACCCAAATTAAAAAAATCAAATTGTCAATCCCTTTTACATATCTCCGGTTTCTTATAGCATTACTAAGGATTATATTTAATACCCTAATATCCATCCATAATATTTCCCTCATATCTATTTTGTCACATTAGCTAATGGGCCAATAAAATTTGCTATCACAATAGCTGGTCGTATATCAATTTTGTTGGAAAAAATATTAAAAAAAAACTAACCGCAATAGAACTACTGCTGCTGCCGCTATTGTGGCCATTCAATTACGATCATATTTCAGCTGTCATGAAATTTATGAATATAAATATAGACAACTTAATTTGAAACTATTATTAAAAAGCTTATAGGCATCAATGGTTTTTTCTATAGATTAAGCGAGCGGTTTACTGCTTCAAAGGCTAGCCGATGTTGCCGCTGTCAATAAAACAAAATCAAAGCTAACGATTTGGGTTGTGGAGATTGGTGGGGACCAATTTCAAACTATCGGCTAGCTGTGTGTGTGTAACTATATCGCTTGGAGATTGCAGGCAAGTGTTTGTTGCTTGTTTTGGAAAATCAAACTTGATCTATGTGGGCAATAGAAGTAGAGAATGAGGGAGGGAGTGCTCGGCAGAGAGGGGGATTGCGATGTAAGCCACCGCATTGTGTATGGCTTTTCTTTTTTGCAATGATATTATCGCGAGAATAACAACAACAATAACAACAACAAATTAGGTAGCAAATCCCTTAAATTATAATCAATTTAAAGGAATCCGCGCATACTAAATATATTTTGCGTGCATCTTTATTATAAACAACTCAAGTTGGCGGCAACAACAACAACATGCACGAATCAAATGACCGGCTAAACACAAAGTGGAAGCCGCAGCAATAACCTCAAAACAACACTGATAACAACAACAAAGTATTGGGTATCAACAAATGCAAAAAAAAAAAACCAAGAAGAAGGAGAAGAATAATGCTGCAAGAACCCTCATCACAGCGGCCAGCCAGCCATCCAACTAACCATACAGCCAAACGGACAGACAACATGAAATTCCACAAGGATGGACCAACAGTAAGCCAGCCAGTCCTCATAAACCAAGTCAAAGCCATAACAATAGGAATAACAACAAGAAAAACATAACGAAAGAAAAAACTGGCTTGCGCTGAAAGTCAGACAAACGTCCAACAATATCGCCAACTTTTGATGTTGAAGTTTATTTGTCTCGTTGGACGATTTTATGTCTGCATAAAAAAAGCACACACACGAAAAAGGTAAAACCCTAAAGAAATGGGGGGAAAAAGTTTACCAAGAGGAAAACAACACACCACAGACAACAGACCTACAGACAGACAGACATTAAGTCCAATTCAAGCTGGCCGCCATTTAGCCCCACCAAATAACCAGCCGGCCATTCGGTCAGTCACTCACTCACTCAATGTGTTTAGAGAGCAAGCAACTAACCTTCTTCCAAAGCCACCGACCGATGATCGTAGCAAGCAACCATCCAACCGTCCAGCCAGCCATTCAGCCGACAGCGATAGCTGCTACTGTTTACCGCCAAAGAAAAGATCAATGGGCGCATGCGCCCATTGATATATACGACAACCGTAAAGATGAGGATGGCGATTACGATGACGAGATGTTTTCTCGTTTTTGTTTTTTTTTTTTTTGCTTTGTTTCTTCTTCCCTGCTGTTGCAGCAGCAGGCTGGCTGGCTGCCTGCCAGGCACTCAACTCTTCTTGTAGCCTTTTGCCGCTCTATACATTTTTTCCAACTCTTGTCCACTTGACTTTCTTTTAATAATAATAATACAGCATCGCATCACAAATTTAAGCGGCAGTTGCAAATGTGCGCAAAATATGTCAGGGGTCTAAAGGAATGCAATCATTTGATGGAAGCCTTAATGAATGAGGAAATTTTATTTTATTTATTTTTTTTATTTTTATTATTATTTTTTTTGT